AAGCCTTGCATTTCTCCTGGTCGCTTTAGTATCACATGCTCTTGAGACGAATGAATTTGTGAATGGAATAGCCCTCCCAACCAACCGTTCGTGTAGCTCTATTGTTTTGAGTGCGTGGCGCATCCTAAAAGGAGAGAACAAGGGAACAGTCAAACACCTTTCTATCATTTGTGGTGCCTGGAACTCACATCAGATCATTACTCATAGTTTACCATGCTAAAATACTAGACAAGAACTTGTCCTAGATAAGTGACCCAGATTTCCCCGTCCCGAGAGGTCAATCGAAGCAGAGACTGTTAGCCGAACCTGACTCTCCTCTTACCATCGGACATCCTTACCCATTGGTTTAGCCATCACAGCTCCTCCTGAAAATTTTAAAAGTAACTCAAAGCTTCCATTCCTGCCAAACTCACTAGGTGCCAAGATTTGAGCCACAAAACTACGAAAGAAGTGTATTGATAAGCCGTTTGTTTGTTTAGAAATATTCATTGTTTATTTTCTGTTTACCTTCCCCATGCTGGGTGCAAGGCGCAACATTTAGGCGCATAACTAAATAGATAACCTTATTGTGAGTTGGTTCTGTTATGATTAAGCGCCGGTCATCCAAGACAAGGTTACCGACCCAGATTTTACCGTCGCGAGAGGCCAGCTAAAGTGGACTATCCCCCTACCCCAATACAGCCCTTACCAAGATAACCTTACGGATTGGTTCAAACATCACAGTTCCTGCTCACGATCACTTTTGTGTTCAGAGTCCATCAGACGATTTATGACAGTCATTTGTTGAAAAGAGCCTTCTTTATGCGCAGTTATCACTGCGCTCATCACATCGCTACAGCGACAGCTCCTTTTCTTTCCTCTTTGCCACAATAATTAAAATTTAGAGCCGGAAAATGCCGTTCTATTTGAATCATTCACCTTGTCGTCATCGCTGTTTGTCAAGTCGGGGCCGCTGTCAGTCCCGCCTTCCGACGGGTATTTAGACTGGCTGCTGCACCGTCTCCAACGAACATTTCCATTCGCTTAGCCAGTTTTACTTTGCTTTTCCATCTGTCCTTTCGGGATTGTAATACACTACTAAGATGAGATGATATCCAGGCAGCATGAATTCGTCGCAGGGGTACCTTTTAAGGGTTCGTTTTTAAGATGTTACTGGTCGTGTTGTTCGCCGTTCTCCTGCCATCAGTGACGGCTCAGTGCTCGTTCAGCGGTGGAGATGTCAGTGCTCGCTGGCAGGTAGGTATTTATTTGTGGTTGTTGTCACAGAGCCGTAAAAATGCTCAAAAAGAGTGAAATATACATTTTCACCGACATTTCACATAATTACTAGCGAAGTTTATTGAATGCTTCTTCGAGAAAAGCTTGAAGGCTTGGCGCTATCGCAATATCCGGGGACATCCTCTAGTAAGAAGCCTAGTAGAGTAGTGGGAACATCGGGAAAAATGAAAAATGCTCATGCACACTGGAGTCTCCAATCTCCTACCTCAGTCCTGATTGACAAAAAGGAGATTTCTGCTGCTGCCATCTCAATGCCCCCGTATCTTGCGATAGCGCCAAAATTTTAGTCGTATTTGTTTTTAACGGGGTTACAGTTTTTCTAGAAGTTCTAGTTCTTCGGGAAAAATCGAAGCCATTTTCAGGTGTCCAATAACGAGCTGACTGTGGAATTTGTGAACAAGAAGATCGGTAACAATCAATGGACAGGTATCGGCTTTGGCCTGGCATGGTGAGTACATACAGTACTAATCTTCGAATAATAGAAATAGGGATAAGTTTCTCCGTCAACAAA